CATATGTATAATTACATGTGAATGTATAATTTGAAGTAGGATTTGTTGTTTTGCTCTTCCCTGATCAAGAGCAAAATCACACAAGAAAGCTGAAAATATTTTTGATAATTTAATATGATGAGTTATATTAAAATGACTGTAGCTGCAGTTTTCCAGTAGCTCATCTTGGTATGTGTTATATAAAGCTACAGAGAAAAAAGCAGACAYGAATAAGAAAAAAGAAATGCCATGAAGGAAAACTAAAAGCCTAATAATAAATGGCATTTCAGAGTCATAACAGTCAGCGTCACTATAAAGTTATCACAGTACTGCCAGTGACCAGGTGGTGGCAGCAAACACTCAGTTAAAATAATGGAAAAAACATGAAAGGGCGGATAGGCGGGGCTACTTTTTTCTGCTTCAGATGATTCCTTTTCTGATTGGCTGATACCGCTGTCGCTCAGCGATGACGGAAGCCACAGTGCTAGTCGTTTCGAAAATGAAACTGGCTTGCTTGACTTCAAGAGAGAGCGAAGATGAAACGAAAATAACACGGCGTACRGATTAAAAACGCGATATTTTGCGTGTTTTACACCAAACCCCAGTGGAAGCAGAGGAGCCGGGCCGGTCGGACTTCATGCGGTGGAAGTCGAGAGGAGACGTGTTTTTGGTGAGAGAGACAGGCCTGCTGCTGTGTTTTTGTGTTGTCAAACCATAACACGCAGCTTCGTGTTGTCACAGATCGTTCTAGAATGAACAAAACACAGATATTTCTGATGTTTTGAGTATATGTCCGAGACGCTGTGTTTCTTTCTTTCTTTTTCCGAAAAGAAATGTGCTTTCTACGTCAATCTCGTATCATGTTGGATATTTCCTTTAATCAGAATATACATGTGATTAATTTTCAGCTGGATATGTTCAGGAACCAGAGCAGAATGGGACGTACTAACCTCCAATGGATGTAAGTCTTTTCTTTTTTCTTTAAAAACATATTTCTCCCGTTAATACATGTTTTTCATCGTTAATGACGTAGAGGGAAAGCCTCTACCCAATGTTTGAAAATATATTTGAGTCACACAAATCTTATGTAAAGTTTTTGTTACTGTTATAGCTTTAAACATGTCTTGAGAAAAATCTTTTGGCATTTATGGTTTTAGTTTCATTTATTAGTTCTGAGTAATTTGTTTGCAACTATTTGTAGCATTAATTAGATCAAATTTTGTACTCAAATTTAATACTCTCAGATGGCTCACATTAAATATCATGTTCTTAGGTCATGCCCTAAATGTKCTTTTATTTCACAACTTTAGGATTTTTCTTATTACGGAAACCATTTCAGTGTCCATGGTTATGTCTTGTCATATCAAAAGTGCTCAGAGTTAAAATGCTTGGGTTTTTTTTATTTCATGTTGTCCGAAAATAATCTGGTAGCTAATCTCTCTGTGCAACRTTCAGAATTTGTGAGCCATCGTATCAAACTGAGGATTAAGTCTCAAAGTTGTGTGTGGAGAAATAGGCAGCTATAGTGCATTGATTAAAAGGTGTGCAACATTTGTCAAAATATAATGAATAAATAGATCATTAAAMTAACCTGTCTGCCTTAAATTTATGTTATTGTCCCTGTGCGCTAAAAAAAGATTTTCTTCTTTGCATCTGGGAAATCTCAATATCTAAATATTAATTTTAGGTTGCATCTCTAAAAATGACATTTAAAAAATCCTTATTATAATAACTTTAAAATATTAATGTATTATCATGATTGACAAGATGAATCAAACTACATCTCTGGACCCTGTCATGATATCAGGATGATCCAGGTTTTAAAATGTATCTTAAAAAGTTGCAAATTTGAAACTGTGCTTGGGTCTTGTTGACCAAAATTGACTTAAAGTGGACTTGCCATGCAAAGTCCACTTTTTTAGCCATTAAATGCATTTTGTTGCGTACTTGGAGTTTGTAGGAGTGCAGAAAAGTTTAATTTAGTCTCTACCGGTGCTGCGGCTCCTCGTATTCTTGTGGGTCATATTTTTCAATCCGTACAGTTTTCTCTATTTTCAAACATTTTCTGAACTATTAAGTCAAATTATTTGGGTCAGAACTGCAAAATAAGATCTGAACTTAATAACCACAATTTGGTGGTCTTCATTCTCCTCTGGCTCTGGGTCAGACTCTGACTCCAACATGTAAGGCAGGATGGACAAGTCTTCCCTTGTTGACATCTTTTAATTCATTTCTAAATTAAAAAGTTTCTGCGCTGCTATATAGTCGTAAACCCTTCTCTCAAACTAGAATGGGCCGCTCTGGAAGCTGGAGGGGCGCGGGATGTGAAACACCTCCTTTGGATTTAAAGACACAGCCTCAAAATGAGTTGATCTGAGACACACCTCAGAAAAGGGATGAAAGAGGGGCTTGTGGAGTTACAATAAGGAGGAGTTCAGACCAAAGCACTGCACTTTATATTGACCCCAACTGAATGATTTAAAAGCATGATGGTTCTTATTTAATATTTTACCTGTAGAGCGTAAAGGATGTTGAAATCAGTTAAATGATAATCAAGCTGAGATCTAATCCCTGCTTCTGTCCCGTTGTGTTTTTTTCCAGTCTGTAGCAGTGACTGCTCTGTGACACTGAACAGGTCGTCACTATGGCACACTTCGACATGGAGTACCAGCGTCTGGAAGCATCCTACAGCGACTCTCCCCCGGGAGAGGAGAACCTGCTGATGCACGTGCCCGAAGGAAGCAAATGTAGGACATAAAAACCAACACAAATTACTCATTAAAACCCAGGAAGTCACTCTTCTGTTGCCTAACTGTTAACTTGCAATAAATCATTTGCAGCTCAGTGGCACCACATAGAAAACCTGGACCTGTTTTTTCAAAGAATATCCTTTCACAGAAGTTTTTAMGTCATGCTCTGTAAACAAACGGATTGCCTTAGATTCACGTTTCTCCTTAACTGTCACCACGTCTATAACCTGCACCAGAAGAATGGATTCACCTGCATGTTGATGGGAGAGATCTTTGAGCTGGTGTATGTATTTTATCCGTCATKGATTGCGTTTTTGTTGCCGTGCAGTCTGGTTTTGTTGTTTTCATATTCTGTATTCGTTCCTGTGCAGTCAGCTGCTGTTTGTGGTTGGCTTCACGGTATTCCTCGCCAACTGTGTGGATTACGACATACTCTTTGCCAACAAGTTTGTAAACCATACCGATTCGTCTAAAGTCACCTTACCGGATGCGATCCTCCCAGTGGAGGTCTGCAGTGCYCAGTGAGTCTAACGTTTTATGTGCGCTGTGTATAAATGTCCTGTCTCSTAACGATAACGCCTAATCTTCTCTCCCACAGTATTCGAGACAATGCGTTTGTAATCTTTGTTCTGATCATCTCTGGGGTGTTTTGGCTACATCGCTTTGTGAAATTTATCTACAACGTTTGCTGTTACTGGGAGATCAGGTCGTTCTACATCAACGCCCTGAAGATGTCCATGGTGAGAAGAAAAAAAATTTTTTTTAAAGAAATGTCTGTTTATAGCGTCACTGTGTTCATATTAAATACAGCCAGTCGTGTTTATTCTTGGCTGTGCCTTTGTGTTTCAGTCAGAGCTCCCCTACGTAACATGGCAGGAGGTCCAGGCCAGGATAATAGAGATCCAGAAGGAGCATCAGATTTGCATTCACAAGAAAGAACTGACAGAGCTCGACATTTACCACCGCATCCTCCGCTTTAAAAACTACATGGTGTGTATGTTTGTGACAGAGGAGAAGASACCGTTCCGCAGCGAATGTTTTAATCACTTTCTGTGTTTCAGGTTGCTATGGTGAACAAATCGCTCCTTCCGGTGCGATTTCAGCTTCCTGTGCTCGGAGATTGCGTGTTTTACACCCGGGGTCTTAAATACAACTTTGAGCTCATCTTTTTTTGGGGACCAGGTGTGTCAAGTTTATGATTTGATCTTTTTTTTTTATTTACATCTCACTGTTTAGCATTTTGTTTGACTCTATATGAATAAATGTGACTTTTTTTTTGGTTATTTAAATTTTTCTGTAGGTTCTCTGTTCGAGAATGAGTGGAGTCTTAAAGCAGAGTATAAGAGAGGAGGCAACAGGCTGGAGCTCGCAGACAGGCTGGCATCTCGTATCCTTTGGATTGGCATYGCTAATCTGCTGCTGTGTCCAGTCATCCTTGTGTGGCAGATTCTGTATGCCTTCTTTAGTTACACYGAGGTAAACTGTTCAAACATAGTCTGTGTGTCGTTTGCTCTTTGGTTTTACCATTTCAAAATAAAATGAGAAAAAAAGTTATAGATTTTTTTTGTTGTTTTTAAATCTAAATTCAAAAAATTGACAATTGCCAAACAAAAATGTCTTTTTTTATTTTTTATAGTTTAAGCAAAGACAAGTTTTATATTTAGTTGATGCAACATTTGGGACCCTCTGTTAGAACCAGAAAGCATGGCCTGAACTCTCGGAGCATTACGTTTACACATCTCACCATAGATAAGATTGTTTTTTTTTTAAAGGGAGTGGATGTATTTCATTGAGAGCGATGATTTTAATGGGAACAAAATTGCTCTAATTATTATTTATTATTAAGACACGTGGTCTCATTTACGAGAGAGACCTGYAATATGTCAAGTCATGCAGAAAAGGGTTTGAGTGCAGCTGCTGCCAGTATCTTTAAAAAGGTTTCTAAGCAGTCTTCAGACACTAGAAACTCCTTCTTTGGTGACTTYCGTCATTTCCGATATCACTACATATTGAARCAACTRTATATTTTATTTTGGATTTAGATAACTGAAGCAAAAATCAAACACTGTAGATTTTTAATTAGTTCCATTTTTACATTTAGGTTTAAAGAAAATAGAAAAACAAAAAAACAACATGGTTGTTTTCAGTGTGCAATTTTATTTTGAAATGGAAAACCCAAAGAACAAACCATACAYGATTACACATGCACATARAAACTCTAAATTTTCTGTTAGATTTTCCAGCYGTAACAGAACTTTGTCCTGCCCAGGTGATCAAGCGAGAGCCTGGTTCTCTGGGGGCGAGGTGTTGGTCTCTCTATGGACGATGTTACTTACGTCATTTTAACGAGCTGGACCATGAGCTCATGTCTCGCCTCAGCAAAGGCTACAAGGTCAGTGCAGCCCTTTAACAATTTTTTTGTTTTGTTTTTGTTCATAAAGACGTGGTTCTGTAATGTCATTGTAACTACACTCGTTCTTATAACAACAGTTAATCTTTTCATGTTCTTTACCTTTGTTATCCTGTAATCCAGGCTGCATCGAAGTACATGAACTGTTTCCTGTCACCGCTCCTGACAGTGGTCGCTAAAAATGTAGCGTTCTTCGCTGGCTCCCTCCTGGCCGTTCTCATTGCCCTGACAATCTATGACGAGGATGTTCTCGCAGTGGAACACGTTCTCTCATCAATCACACTGCTTGGAGTGTGTATCACAGTCTGCAGGTAAGGACCGGGCTGATTTGTCAGTCATTTAGGTCATAAATGACTGCATTCTCATCAGACCAATGAGGTCCTTTTTAGTACTATTAATCAGTTGTACAATGACCAATTTAGTTTGTATYCAATACACTGTTTACTTAACAAATTGATCATTTTGATCACTTTTCTGTTTTTTTACAGGTCATTTATTCCTGATAAGCACATGGTGTTCTGTCCCGAGCAGCTGTTGCAGGTCATCTTAGCTCATATCCACTATATGCCTGACCACTGGCAGGGCAATGCACACAGATATGAGACACGAGACCAGTTTTCACAGCTCTTCCAGTACAAAGCAGTGAGTAACAAAAAAGACCTGTAAATCAGAATTGACTAGAACAGCATTGCAGAGGAAGTTATAGTCAGAGTTGCACATAAGCGGTGCGCATGCACGATCAAAAAAAGAAAACGTGCACTTGCGTACCTAAGATTGTACCTGAGATTGTCTGTCAAAACAACAGCTAGCGGGGCTCTATGCAACCAGTTTGGTCGCAAATGCGACCTGATTTCTTAAAAAAAAATCCAGCTGCACTGGTGTGACTGGATCTTTGTTCGGTGCTCACCAAGCCTCTAAGGACAGCGGGACCCTGTTATAAGGATTAAACGGACACTGCCTTCAACAAATCAGTTGAAGTCCAGAGCCGTTTTATCCAATCAGGGCGGGAGGCGGGACTTTCAGTCAGAGCAGTTTTCAGCAGAGACAAAGGTTAAAGCAGCGGCTCGACTCCAGCAGCAGATACAGCGGTCAGTCCTGACATCTCCTCCTGCACTTTACTCCTGAACTGCCAGAGACTTTGGTCTGTAAAACATAACTTTATATTAAATATATGTTCAGAGTGTTGTTATTGAACAGATCTGTCCAACTTTGTGTGAATGACTAACTCTCTCCTCCTGAGAGACTGCTGTGACAGGAGCGTGTCACTGTGCACGCAGGCTGAGTCTTTCTGTGAGATTCACTGTATGAGTTTTTCTAATTAAACCACATTAACTCTAACAGAACATTTGTTTGCCCCATATTAAAGCAAAGATGATTCTCTGTTTAAATCACCCCCCATCAAAAAAAAATTATATACAGTATATTAAAAGAATAAATCAACTTGCCATGCTCTCTAGGTGAATGAGTTTTAAATGTTATTTTAATTTATCATAAAGATCCACAAATTTCATTCACAATTACATAAAAAACAAGGTTCTTGATTTAAACTTGTTTATATTTAGGACCATACTGTGACACAGCTTTTCTGTGATAAATGTAATTTATTAAATGATCAAATATGAAGAATAAATAAGTACATGAGCTGAAACCATCTAAATATTATAATATTTTTGAATAAATTGTCTTTTAAAAAAATCAGTCTAATAAATAAAACATTTGTATGTTTTCAGTTATTTTGCTCTGTGCAAAAGACAGATATTTGCTGCTGGACTGGAGAGTGTGGAAATCTGGTTTAACCAAGGCTGAAGATGCAGAAGGTCAAACTACAGGAGCTGTCCATCTGAAGGACATGTTAGTCTAAAAGACATTTAACCATGAAATGTTCAGTTTGTGATGTTTATATGACATACACCCAGCCCCTTGGCCACTTAGGTAGTTTACAAAATTTATGCAAAGTACAAGTATAAAATAAAAACTCGGTGGACTGATTTGGCATGATGTCCTGAGACGTTGCAGCTGATAGGAGTCATAAAACAGAACGGGGGGATGTTAGATGCCCTGATGCCCCTATAGATAAATGTGTTAAATGAGTGAAGGAAAATATGAGTGAGCACCAAGCAACAACCCTAGGTTCTCYCCTGAGAACCAGACCAAAAATTTTATGTGCAACCCTGTTTATAGTGGCTTAGACTTACTGAGGCTGCTAAATGCAACTCTTGCACAGCAGCTTCCTGTAATTCTGAGCTGCAGACTTTTTTTAAACTGGTTTTCCAAACAATAACTAGTTAAAGAGTTTTGCTTCATTCTGTTCTGAAGTGGTTTRGGTTTTAGTAAAGCAAGACAGTCTCTGATCCCTTTTTTTTCCTTCCAGGTGTTTATTCTAGAGGAGCTGCTAAGTCCAGTGGTGACTCCCATCATCCTCATCTTCTGTCTGAGGAGGAAGTCTCTGGAGATCATAGATTTCTTCAGGAACTTCACCGTGGAGGTGGTTGGGGTTGGAGACACCTGCTCTTTCGCCCAGATGGACATAAGACAGCACGGACACCCTGCGGTGAGGAAGGGTAACATGTTAACTAGGGCGGCTCTGGGGGAGTGGWTAGGGGAGTCGTTCCTCTAATGCGAGTGTTAGTGGTTCGATTCCTCGCTATTCCGTCATGTCGAAGTGTCTGTAGGCAAGACAGTGAACCCCACTGCCTCTTATGTATGTCCCATCAGTGTATGCAAGTGTTTTAAAGCGCTGATTAGTCTATATAGATTGATTCACTTGTATTAGCTTTGTAGTGAGATCTAATAAGAGTGCTGTGTGAGTGGGTAAATGAGGACATAGATTGTTGTGTAAGCGCTTTGAGTATCCATATCTAAGAAATAATTTTWTATATATATGTATATATAAATAAGTACAGTCCGTTTACTATGTAACTGCAGCAGACAGTAGACTGATGTTTGATTTTCACTCTGTAGTGGATGTCAGCAGGGAAGACTGAGGCGTCCATCTACCAACAGGCAGAGGACGGGAAGACGGAGTTATCGCTGATGCACTTCGCCCTCACAAACCCCCACTGGCAGCCTCCTCAGGAGACGACACACTTCATCAGCCAGCTGAAAGAAAGAGTTCACAGAGAGGCAGCAGGGGCTGCTTCTGACATACACCCGCTCTCCTTGTCAGAGTCTGAAGTAAGGGGACAAACTGATTTAAAMCGCCTTTATCTCAGATCTCAGGTTTTATCTCAGGTAAAAGTTGTGTTTTTTTATTTATTTTGTAGCCCAGGAGTCTTGTTGCAAACCTCTTGACGGGCCCCTCCACGCTGGCGCCTGTTCATTTTGCCTGCGACATGTCTTTGACAAATAATGCAGCAGCTGGTATGAACACTGGAGCTTCTGCCCTGCGCTCTCTGTCACCAGTCAGCAGCAGTCTTAACCTGCGAGGCAGTTTGAGTGCTGCTCAGAGAGTTAGTGGTTTCACTGGCAAAGGAATGACAGGCTCTGGGTAAGTGAGCAGCTGCTGTTCAGGCTCCTGGTTAGTTTGAATTTAGAAGTGCAAAGTGTATATAAAGCTCACATTTGTTTCTGTTTAATCCTAATTTGTACCTATTTGTTTCCCCCTCATTGTCCTTTTCTCTGCAGGACTGATGCTCGGACTGTGAGCTCAGGCAGCAGTGCCTGGGAGGGTCAGCTCACCAGCTTGGTCCTTTCAGAGTATGCCTCCACTGAAATGAGCATCCACGCGCTATACATGCATGAGGTAAATATGTGTACATGAAAGACTGTGTCCAACTTGAGCTCCATTCAGGTTTGTTTGCAACGTTTTCTATTCTGCAGCTTCACAAGCAGCAAGCCCGCGGCGAGCAGTCACGCCACACGTGGCACCGGCAGGACAGCGACGAAAGCAGCGACAGCATCCCGGACGAAGTGAGAAGCGAACCCAGTGCTCGCTCTCGGAACTTCCCGCGCTCGCACACCTTCCCCGCCATGGCTCCKAGTCCTAGTGCGATTCCCACCTCGGCCTCAGCGTCAGCCACCGGCTCTGCTGCGGTAGACCAGTCGCAGAGCAGCAGTCAGCRGCACCACAGTGGGCTGGCAACAGGTCTCTGTTTTTTATTAGCTGTCATTTTATCTAATAGGATTACTAAACAGGGACATATCGTGCAAAAATTCACTTCTTTAAATACATTTTGTTGTGTACTTCAAGCCTTTAGGAGTGCAGAAATTTTAAATTTAGTTTCTCCTGGTGTTACATAGATATCTATATATTCTGTTTGGGTCATATTTTTCATCCCGTTCAGTTTTCTCTTGTTTCTATTATATTTTCTGAACAATTACATCAAAATATTTGCAACAGAACTGCAAAATAAGGTCTGGACTTACCAACTACAATTTGGTCTTCATTCTCCTCTGACTGGGTAAGACTCTGGCTCCAACATCACAGTTTTCCATTGTGGACTTATTTTAATTAATTTGTAATTTTTTTTGCTACTAGATAGTCATAAACTCCTCTCATACTAGAATGGACCACTCCAGAAGCTGTATGAAGCACCTCGTTTACACTTAAAGAGACAGCTTCAAAATGAGCTCATCTGAGACACACCTCAGAAAAGGGGTGAAAGAGGGGCTTGTGGAGTTACAATAAGGAGGACTTTAGACCAAAGCATTGCAGTTCCACTTTATATAGACCCCAACTGAATGTTTTAAATGTAAAAAAGGATTTAAAAACACAGATATGTCTCCTTAAAGTCTGATAAATATTATCCTTACACTTGTGTTGATTTAACACACAGTGTTAATTTCAACACCAAAAAGTGTCTATATGTGTTCACCCTCGTTGGTGTTAAAATAACGTTTATGAAAGTGTTAAATTATAGCATCCATTTTTTGTTAACACCAGCCAGTGTTTAATATTCAACAATRTTGGGTGTCACATTAACATTACAACAGTGTTGGTGTTAAAATACAGTGTTAAAAGTGACATTATTAACAAAGCAAATTGTGGYGTTAGAAATGTTAACAACAGACCAGGAAGTACCTCTCACTCATGGTGTCGATTAAGGGTCAGTAAAGCTAGTTTTATGCTCGACGCATCGTGGTGGGTGAGAGGGCGCACGCGCTATAGGTAACGCAATATATGACGCTCATGGCTGTCTCCGCCCCTGCGCATTGGCCCTTTGTGGTGTCCTGTCGCGAGGTCGTGCACCTCCAGATTTTTAAACTCTGCAAGGACTGCACGCGCTGGTGGACAAATCAACAAACAAGATGGACGTGTGCAAGAAGATCTTAAAATGTTGGAAGGACCCTCAATTAAAGCTGAAGTTAGCAGGGGAATTGGCATAAAAAACATAGATTTGAACTTAGATCTGTACATTACACTTCTTACGTGTTAATAAAATGCAAGAGGTGGAAAGTCATTACTTTTATTTCGTCTTTCTTGTTTTCATTCCAGCTTGTTATTGTAAAAAAAATAAATACTGTCTATAGGAGCCGTTTGTAGTTTTGGGTGTTCTGGGTATAGTTTGGGTTCTTATTTTGCTTTTATAGTTCAGTTTGGTTTGGTGGCAGTGTTTGTTTATTTGGATTGACACTTTGACCTATATTTTTGCTCTACCACTGGTGGCGGTGTGGAGGGGAAATCTGTATAGGTGGCAAGGTGAGAAGGAAAGGTGAAGGGTGTAGGGAGGTCACACGGTTTTTACCGCTCTCTTAAAATGCTGGTTAWCCTCTCTCATATTCACATTTTACCATAATTTTCCATCTATTTTGCAAGCTGCCATAGACTGCCTCTCTGGACTTTGTAACATTTAATCATCAAAAACAATATGATAAATGGGAGTATCCCCAAACATATCTCCCAGTCTGGACATTATACTGATTGGAGCGCGTCAAAGGTCTGGATTCCCCCGCACCCAGAAGCCACTAAAAGGTTGGATTTGATAGTCGCTACACTGTCCATTTAAATTCTGCTTCCTAGATAGGGTGAATTTGGCAAAGTACTTGTGCTTTTTCTCCAATACGTGTCTACCCAAAAACATTAAAAGGGAATTTTGAAGTCCGTAAAATTTCACTGACAAATTGAGATTAAACACATCCAGATAGGTGGCAGCAGCATCAAATACTTCCAATGCAATGAACGAACACACCATCTCCTTCTGCGTCGTCGTCTCAATAAAAGCAATAGATATATTTGTTGCTCTATTATATTACGTTCCTGTAAAAACAGTTCTTCTCGTGACCGAGCCACCATCTTTTCTATTGTGTGAYGTCAAACATTTCTTCTTCTACACCCGTTTTTCACAACCGAAATGCTGGTTAGATAGTGTACTGGCACCCGTTGGTTATAGAAGAACAGCACTTTGATGCACGTCAACTATAATTTGAGAAGCCAAGTGCGCGCGTTCCAAAGCGCGACTATAACTCAGCCTGAACACAAACTAGAACAACTAACCAACCTGAATAAGACAACTACCCAGAACCACTCATTTTTAAACTCATGAACGACTTCAATAATCATACACATGGACACACATCATTTCTACAAGATTACCCAGCGTTCCTTGCTGAGAAAATATTGGTCTGTCTGAGGTGGAGGACGACAGGGCTTTTCAGAATACTTTTTTAACACTTCATGTTGTCATATCACAACACTGTTAAGTGTTATATAAGACTTAACAGTGGGCGGAGCTTATTTAACACTGTCCAGTGTTGAGACAACTCTGAGGATTAACACCAAAACTGAGACCCTGTTTACACGAGACCGGTCTCTGGAAATGCTAATGTTTACTGGAGCGAATACACAAACAAATCACCTGTTTACATGGAACCACTGCAGTAATGAACCAGGTAGAAATGTTATTTATTTAAATAAAAGATGAAATTAGCTTTGGAAAATATACAAGATAGTTTTAACACCACTATAAAAAGGGGTGCAATTCTTTCTCAGTGGATTTCTCARTGGCTCAGCAAAACATGGGCCTTCTGATGACTTTTATTGAATTTACAACTTGTAGCACTCTGTTGTACAGATCAGCATCAAATGTTGGTACTTTCTAACTATCTTGTCTTGGCCTGTATTTTTCAGACCTTGTCGGGTCAGGAGGAAAAGTGGTGAGGACAGCCCGCGTGCCAATGGGTGGATGGGCAGAGGATGGTAAAGCAGCATCACGACACCATCAGCCGCTCCCAGAGGAGACTTCAGAGGATGAGTTGCCTCCTCACGTACACAAGGTTCAATGCTCTTTATGTGGCAGGAGTAGCAGTGTTACTTTACTAGTGTTTGGAGCAAGTAACGTATTTTGTCTTCTCTCTTTTTTTTTCTCTTCAGGTTACATAATCAAGCCGTGTGAATATGTATCTACAYCCTAAACACATCCACATTTGCATCTTCCACTGGACTGATGTTTCTTTTTCAGAGATATGAAAACGGACGTGTGCTGCGGGGTTTATCACCATCCATTCAAAAGCTCAAAGCGTGACATCTGTGCAAGTTAAGACTGGTCATTTAAAAACAGTTAGCGTATGACTTTCAGAGCATACTGTGGTGTTTCCTAAAACGGATGAACGGATTCTGCCATCAGAAGTGGATCTAAAAGATCAAGTTATTTCTTTTAGCCACTGATAACCTCAGCTAAGAATTTTTATKATGTGAAAAGATTGTAAAGTTAGAATATATGTTTTTGCTGCAGCAAAGAGAAAAAGAAAAACGTCAACAKTATCTGGAAGTATTGTCAGTGAATTGCTAACAGTTTGCATGTTAGCTAAGAAAAATTTAAACTGATTTCTATTTGTTGCTTAGACTTTTACAAATAATGGGAAAGAAAAACTAATTAGATTATTTTCAATGCATAATTTCTTTCAAAGAGTGAATACTTGCCAACATGTCTTCAAAAGATGCCAGTAACAGACTTTCGTTGTGGTAGTTGAATAACTAGCATTAAGGTGTGTTTTCTATAATAGGTTTGCATTTTAACTCTTRGCAAAAACCAAACGAAAAAGATCTCTCTTAAATTTTTATTAGATGACTTTTTTTATTTGATTTGTGTGAAACTTTGTCTTGAATTTGGATTTGCCCAGAGAAATACATGTTTAAATGTTGAATTGATCAGAGCAGCAGCTGTTTCGGTCTATAAATAAACTCTATGTGACAAAACACTCAACTGTAAGACCAGCATTGTGAGACGGGTATGTAAACTGATTTCAATCTGATGTCACCTAATTTTTTTTGCTTGCTTGTTCATTCTTTTAAAACAAATTTCTTATTAATTAAGCAGTGGTTTCAGCATGAAACAAACTSTTTTGACTTATGAAGAGGGGCCCAMGCGCATGCACCGAGTTCAAACCTGATCACCCCATTTTTCCCCCAATCACAGTTTGTCTGTTTACCCTCATCAGTTAGACAGTTCTGCAAATAAAGACTTATGCACTTTAATAACTTGTTTCAAAGCATAAGATATCTCCTAACGTGTTTTTTTATTTTGTAAGTTTTTGTATACATACATTTTGTAATTTATTTCATGTGTCAAAAGGATGTGCCATGATGAATGAAAGCTACGAGTCAAGTATGTCAATATTTTGCACTGTAACAAAAAAAGTAAACAAAACAGTCAAGTTGTGGGATGAATATGGAGAAAGGGAATGAAGTGATTTGGGATGGTAAATAAAGTCATAACTGYTTGTTTTGTTGAATAGATGCTGTATAATACCACTTTGTACAATTGTAAATTCATCTATTAAAGAACCAACAATTACTGTGTGCAGCCTGATGAAGAACTTGATGTTTAATGATGGCTGAGTGCTGTAACAAGGAAAATAAACTGTTTCATTTATTACAGTATTACTGGACATTTTGTTATACTATCTTTTTTTGTGAGTGACGTACCTGCACTTTTCAGAGCCCGGATAGCTCAGTCGGTAGAGCATCAGACTTTTAATCTGAGGGTCCAGGGTTCAAGTCCCTGTTCGGGCGAAAGAAATTTTTTTACATCTCAAAGAAATTCCCGAACATATAAGGACGACTTGTCATCTCAGTTCCCCTTATAGCGCTCGTTTATGTTGTATTTCTGACACAATGGAAATACTTCTGGTAGCCTTTAAGCTAGTTGTATTTTGTTTCCGGAAAAATGTACAGCAACCTGCTGTGTAACTGAAAAGGTTCAGCTCTCCGCAACTCCAAACAARGATAAAAGAAATGCATGCAAGTTTAAAAAAAAAAGCTTAAACCCTGCAACTTCTGTTTCGCTCACGCTGCAGTTTTATTCTTTTCACATGTTTACATTTTCTGCACAGAAACACGTCGGGGGCTCATAAATTGCACTTAAAAGCGTAGTTTAATACTTGTTCCATTTTTTTGTTTTCTTATGCTACTTAGTGTTTAGCCACTTTCTGCTAATTTTATTTTATTAGCTAGCATTCAGCTACTTTTTTCTATCTTTAGCGTTGAAGCGTTCCTGTCCAAAAAACGCAGAGAGTTGACTGCTAGCCGACTTTCATTGGCTACCAGAGCCGTCAATCCAAGAAGAACAACAATCAAATATTCTAGTTTTGGCTCGAGCTCTTTGATTAAGCCTATGGAGARGACTGATGTACAAGATAGGCGGTCCTTGTCCGGTTTTTCACAGAGCTCAAATTTCATTGGCTGAAGATGTGCAATTTATCATTTGATTGGACCGTTAGTTCAGTGAAACTCGATAAGGGCGGAGTTGAACCGCGTTGGCGGCCATATTGAATATTGTCTGTTGACAGTTGTATCTACATAGGCTCAAATATTTTGTTTAAGCTTTGTGTTTGTAGGAAAAATAGCATATCTTGGTTTCCCATTCAGTTTGGAATTATGTCCTAGTCTGCTGACGGATGTATTTACATTAAATCATGGATGAAGATGAACGACAGAGGAAATTAGAAGCTGCAAGATCCAAGGTYTGTTGCTAACATTATGCTAGCATGTAGCTAACTCTATTGTCATAGCATTGCGCATGTGTTACACTTTCTAAGTAACTGCACCGTATTYATTATTAAACAATCAGTTTTTATACTTTATCAGTGAATATTTTGCATKTGCATTAACGTACAATTAACTTCAGGTTTAATATATAAAGCCAAAAACGTAATAAGTATCTTATATTATGCCATAGCAGTGACACAGTAAATGATATCTTGCATTTTTATGACTATGTTGCAGCATTTTATTAGGTCGCTTTTTATTGACTGAATTTAAAGCAAATTTTGAGCCATGTCATGTAAAATGTAGGTGCTGCCGTTGTTGAATGCAGTACCTTTTTAATGTACCGTGGTGAAGTTTTTAATGCTGCTTTTGTCTCATTAACATTAATTTCAGCTAAATAAATGCTTAATATACTTAGTGAGTAACCTAAGATCTTAGGAACCAGGCACCGTATCAAAAACCTAAAACCATAAAATGACTGACTTTTTTAAAAATCACAATCGCTTTCACAAACATACAGACAGCAACAGAAAGTGTTATTTTGCATGCTCGTTATTAGTTTCTCAAAACGTTGTATTACAGTGTTTCTACCAAGGACAAAAGGACAAAATTTGCTTTTATTTTATTGAAGGCTTTTTTTGTTAGTAATYGGTCAATGATCAAGAATGACCAGCAGAAAGATGACAGATCATCTGATTAGAGCAGCTGATTGAATCCAGCTCATTGTGCAACTCAATTACATAATTAAACGATCAGATAGTACATTCTGAACAATAAAAATAACAAAAACATTAACATCTMTTATGACAGAATTTGTCCAGCATTCCTCGAAATCAGGCGGTGAGTATTAAAGTGGTACATTGCAGAGGGTTTTTGATTGTATTGGGGATTTTGATTGCTATTGCTTTTACTCATCCCTTTTCATGTTTTCTTCTCTTTTGTCTTCTTGGGTGAAGGCCTAATCACAATAAATCTTTCAAGTTATCATATAAATTATGTAAACATGGTGACTTTAATTGTGTTTACATCAATGTTTGTTTATGTAAAAAAAAAAAGATCAGCGTTTGATTTGAGATGCATTTTGTTGGATATTCTGAATTTGCTGCCTCTGTTCTTTTGTTTGCTCTGAATTTCTAAAGTGTTCTTGCTTTTGAGATTCTGGCTCATTTTAAAACAAGCAGTCTATTTTTAATTATTTAGACTATCTTTGTCAAGCCGKGTACACACCAAACGTGTTTGGAGCAGCCAAAGCAGCCAGTTTACATGCAAAGTCTATCAGTCTGAAAGGAAATATGCCTTGCTGTAGTGGTTGAACAGGAACTGGAAAACTGCAGTGCTGGTTTCAGGCCATCAGATGGTGCAGTGGATTCATACAGTTGAATGAGGTTTGTTGTGTCAAGTATCACATAAAATGTTGCCATGGTMATGCGCTGCTGACAGTTACCTTTACTCTTGGCTGCACAAAAAGATGATTTCTCGGTGTTGCAGCACTGCAAGCATGGCACGTCTGCAAAAAGTACAGTTAAACGCAGACGTGTATTTGTGACAGACATCTCTTTAAGTTGGGAGTTTTTGGTGTTAATGTAGGTGAAAACATTTTTGCTGTACAGTTCCATCTGATTTAAGATAGCTTGCTGCTTAGTCAGAATCCCAGTGGTGCAGAAGTGGCYTTGAGCTAAACACAGCTCATCTGGCTGATGTCTTTCTGAGATGTAATGTTTTCTGACARACAGAGGCAATAGTGTGGTGAAGGCAGGAGAATGTGTGGGATTTCATCTTAATAACTGAGCCTAAACAAGGCTGCTTGGTAATTTTTTATTTATTTWTTTATCAACTTTGTTTCAAAACTGGAGTGCTTCAAAGCTGGAGTGGACAGGCAGCTGACAGCATGGACCATTGACTACCTCACCAACAGACCACAGTATGTGGCTCCRTCACTGTGTGTCTGATGTGGTAGTCTGCAGCATGGGGGCACCACAGGGCGCGGTCCTATCACCCTTTCTGTTCAGTCTGTACTCGTCAGACTAGGGTTGGGCATAATCGTATCGTGTGCAATTAATCGTCAGAAAAACATTAATYGATTAGTTTTTGTCACTTGACGATTAATGCGATTAATGCCACCAGGCAGACTGACTGGAGATTACTCCGGTCAGTAAGCTCGCTGCTCCTCTCTGCTTCAAATATGACGAACATTAAAATTAAAGTTCTRTAATTTATTTATCTATCAACACAATTTAAAATATGCATAGCCTGAAATTCTGTAATTTTCACACAATTTGGAACAATTTTTTACAATGAGCAAATCTTTCCCACTAAATTGGTCATGTGACTACAAAATAAGGGTGTCCAGGGACTCCAGGGGATTAATCGTCAAATTTATTGTTATCGGCTAAATACCACAATTAATCATGATTAATTTTTTTGCCAATATTGCCCAACCCTACGTCAGACTTCAGGTACAACTCGGACCACTGCCACCTTCAGAAGTTCTCAGATGATACGGCCATCATTGGATGCATATCAGACAGGAATGATGAAGAACACAGTGGGTTCATCTGTGACTTTGTTGGCTGGTGTGAGACCAACGCTCTCCAAATCATGCCAGCAAGACAAAGGATATGGTCATAGACCTCAGGAGGAAGCCACCCCCCACAGTACTGGTGAACATTCAGGGAAAAGACAGAGACAGTGGACACTTACAAGTACCTGGGTGTTCACCTCAACAACAAACTGGACTGGACTACAAACACAGACGTCCTGTATAAGAAGGGCCAGAGTCGACTCCACCTGCTGAGGTCCTTTGGTGTCTGCAGGACTCTGTTAAAAACATTCTACGACACGGTGGTAGCATCTGCCCTTTTCTATGGAGTGGTCTGCTGGGGGGCTGGATGTACCGAAAGGAACMGGATCGACAAACTGGTACGGACATCTAGCTCTGTGCTGGGATGTCCTCTGGAGCCTGTGGTAGTGGTGGGTGAGAGGAGGATGTTGGCAAAGCTCACAGCCATCATGGACAACCCCCACCACCCTCTGCAGGAAACCGTGGGGGGGCTGAGCAGCTCCTTCAGTCAGAGACTTAACATCCTCGCTGCAGGATGGAGCGCTTCCGTAGGTCATTCATTCCAACTGCAGTTAGACTGTATAACACACGAGTCACGAGTATAGTGGGGTTTTTTTGTTTGTTTTTCTTTTACTTATCTTTATTCTATCTCACCCTGTCCTGTTTTGAGCTGCTGTAATGTGCAAATTTACCCACTGTGGGATCATTAAAGTTTTATCTTATCTTATCTTATCTTATCTTATCTTATCTTATCTTATCTTGTCTTGTCTTGTCTTGTCTTGTCTTGTCTTGTCTTATCTAAAACAAAGTTAGGTACAGAGCGATCAGAAGACGCATGCACACAATGAATTCATGCATCATGTACGTGACTCATTGTTTAAAGCAACAAGTAGGTCTCCTGGAAAAATGTAATCTCAAATTGATGTGAGCATGCACACACTGCTGCTGATGCCACACAGAGAGCTCTGTCTCCTCCTCCCCGTGTGCATGCATGTTCCAGTCTCCACCCTCTCTCCGTGGTCTAGACATATGCCATCATCTGAACAGAGTTTGCGGATCCCTCTGCGCGCTTGCTTCAGCTGTGACTTTCAGGATGAGCGGTTCGGCAGACTGTGGTGCTTGCCGCACACTAYGAGTTCAGCGTCTGGACCAACTGAGTTGATGTGGAACAACTGACAAATTTGACTCACCGGCAAGAAAAGAAGTCAATCATTGACTGTCAGATGTTGATGGAGAACTGTCAGGACCTCAGTCACAATGACAAGTGCCGTAATCTGCTTAAGAGGAGAGGGGCCAGAAGAGGGAARCACTGATAAAAAGAGGAGGGGTGTTTTCCAAACAGAAGCTGCCTGAGGCAAATTTGTACTAAAATGGTCCCTCTGGAGTTGACACTTAACAACCCGGCTTGATTTGGGAARGATGTTTCCTTTTTTTTCACTTTGGAGAAACACTTCAACATCCCGAGGGCTCGCAAAGAAGAAATGGAGTTTTTAAAAAGTTCCTGCGCTACAGTTTTCCATCTCTGAGTTTGTGTTTTTCACAATATRAAAAGTGCAGAATAACAGGATTATTTTTCTTGCTGGTTTCTRCTCTGCTGAATGAGTCATTAAAATCTGCACTTCCGATGGGTGTGCCACAGCTTTATGGAGTTCTGTGGATTTTTAKCATCTTTATCTAATTTTGAGTTTGGTGATCTTTATCAGGTTATRCTGTTTGTTTTTGGTGCGAGTTTGGGTTTTCTTCTTGCTTCACTGGCTTTTTTTAATCTTCTTAACATATCAAACTGATTTAAATCATTGGATATAAATGATTAACATCTTCTTGAGCTACATTTTGCAAAATAATATTGCTGCTGAAAGTAACTTTTTGAATAATAATAAATCTGGACTGTATTGCCTTTTTTTTAAAAGCTCTGACTCTTGAGCTTCACCATGCTAGTAGTTTGGTGCTCGGTGGTCCTGACCTATGTGTCCATCTACCTCTCGCTCTCCTTCCTGCGTAGCTTGCTAGCTTCAGACAGAAGCGGGCGAAAAGCGACAGTGCGGGGGCGGCGAAAAAGACGCAGAAGAGGAAGGGCCAGGCTGTCAAAAAGAATGACGGCTCGACGCAAGATCCTAACGTAGAACCAGCTCCTCCTCCGGCCAACGTCACAGAGCTAGACAACAAGACCAACCATGAGGTATACCACTCCATTAATAAATTATCAGGCTTTTTTACAGATATGTAACTATTTGTTTGTCTAAAACAGCTATTTAGGTTGTGAACATATTTCTTTACCTCACAGTTTTATTCATAGGATCAAAGAACGTGACCTGCTGTTTTTGTCCACTTTCCTTCCCTCTGTGTTTTCTAACATGTTGTTCATGGCCTCTGTGTGATAAACACACATTAGAGAACTGGGTCACTAACCATTACATCGCCTTGAGGGCCTGTTGTCATGACTACTTGGTCAGGATTAACTGAAGCCCCTGTTACTGCTTTTATTCTTTTGTATTTATTTGATTGTATTCACCTGCTGCACTGGGTGTTTTGCTGATGTGTGTTAAAATCAGAGCTTAGAGTTTTTCCTTGTTACTTGGTTTTAGGCGACCCCAAAGTCAGAACATTTAGAGGTTCAGCAGAATGAAAACTGGGAGGATCAGCCCTCCTCCCTGGAACAAAACCCATCTCCTCTGGAGGACTTCAGAGACGAGGCATTAGCTGCGCTGACCGGCAAAGAGCAGCTGAAGGTATACATCAGGGGTGCTCAAACATTTTCCTCGAGAGGGCCAAAATGAAAATCKATCCAGGGATGCGGGCCAAATGCATACTATAATACGAATACTTTTTAAAGTAAAGTCCTTTATTTTTAACAATTAAGCTATGCAATGGCCCTCTTTTGTTTTAGTCTGTGCACTTGGAGAAAGTCTGCCATACGCTTAAGTAGCAAAGGCTCATGGGACATTTCATAAATTGATAAAATATGAGTTTTTGTGGCCTTATAAAGTGTGCAAATCTACATGTGGGGTTAAATCTGATCTAAATATTTCTTGTTGTCATTTCATGTTTCATGTTTAATCCTAATAAATCAAAGATATGTCAGCACCATGRCTGAAAACTACCTTCACTACAGCCCTTTTGTTGTAATTTGACCAATGGAAATACTGCTTTTCTACATAGGATAACAGGTTACAACCTTGTAACTTWGGCAACTGTTGGTGGCCAATGGCTTGGCAGGCCAAATTTGGCCCGCGGGCCCCACTTTGGACTCCTCTGGTATACGTGATCAAATATTGGGATATTAGTTGTTGTATTTTTTTATAAAATCATTTGAATCAGTAAGGGATTGCACTGATAGAGCATAACTCAGAAAAATTGCCTGAGGTGATTTTAGAATACGTCATGAAATTTTCACTACAATTCAAACAGACTTTGGTCTGACTTTGTGGCATGACTTATAGAAATTACTTGAATGTAATGAGCTCAGTATTCTATTCTTTATTCTAATGAGCTGCAAAAAAATTATGTACATTTTTTATCATAAACTGATGTACGCTCTGTTGACAGACACTGGAAGTCTTATTAAAATATTAGAGTTTCAAAAACAAATGAACAAAAACCRAAAACAACATGCATTTCTTTTACATCAAGAATTTACTTTTTGTCTGCAGGGCTGTCTGGATTTTTGCTGTCTGAAAATTCAGCATATTTTATTCATATTATTCAAAGTCTGTTTGTAGAGGAATCCTATTACAGGGTGTTTTGGTTTAGGGAAACAAAATATATTAAAATGTCTCAAATATTAGTGTACAATGTGGGATCTTMAGAAAACTGAAGGGTCACATGAACTGTTTTAAAAATGTGGAGTATTTATTATTTGTGTTAACCAGGAAGCTGGAATCTATTATTGATGTGTTTTTTTTCTAAAGTCTATTTAGGGTTTAGCGAATTTTCTGACTGTCCTTAAATGAGAAAGTTTGATCATTTTTTTATAGTTGTACTTTATTGGCCTCTTTGCATTTTCAGAAATTCTTTCACACATTTATGAAATGTAACATGAGCAAAACGCTTGATTTGTGGGACTTGACATGGAAATGTTCAAAAGCAGCTGCAACAGAATAAAGCATACAGAGATTTGCAAAAACATCTACTTGAACAAAAAGATGTGTTTGTCTTGTTTACTGAAGTTGATTCATCTGTGTTTTTGCAGCTGTTGCAGGAGGCTGTAGAGAAACGGAATGAAATAATCTCCAAACTCAGCTACAACCTTCAGGAAGCCCTGTCAAGTAGAGACCAGRTGCAACTAGAGGCTCAGTCTCTTGCTGGACAGATTCAGGCTCTACAGAAGCAGATCCAACAGGTGAGTGCCTCTTAAAGCTTGTTTTACTCTTTAATGCATAATAAATACCTATACATGTAATTTTTTTTCTTTCATGCAGACCAGTGTAGAGTTCAAACGTATTAAAGGTCAGTCCGGGGCTGAAGCTGTTGATGTCGTGGAGCATCACCTTTCCTCCCAGGCCGCAAACATCAATCACAAGGAGGCGACATCAAAAGGGAGTCCTGAATGTTTCARCACCGACAGTGACACAGAAACCGACACTGTTCTGCACAAGCTGATGACAGAGTTAGAGGAAGAGAGGAGGAACAGCCAWCACATGAGGGTCCAACTAGCAAAGGAGATGGAGCGAAACCAACATGTGCTTTTGTTGCTCGAGGAGGAGAAGCACGAGAGGGAAGAGGAGAGAAAAGCAAAAGATGCACAACTGCAAAACCTTCAAACCCATTTAAGCCAAGTACAAACTCAGTGCCTTGAGATACAGCAGTGCAAAGARGAGAAGGAGAAGTTAAACCAGGAGGTGCTGGAGCTGAGGAAACAGCTTCAGGAGGGAGGAGACGCTGAGAGGAGACGCAGCGAGGACGTTGCCAGCTCTGCTCTTCGTCTTCAGGCTTTTGAGGAAGAAAAGCTGAGACGGGAGGAGGAGATGAGGAGACTGAAAGAGGAGGTTGAACATGTCAGGCAGCTGTTGGATGAGAGTGAAAAAGAGCTGAAGAGGAGAGAGGAGGAGGTGGAAGGACTTAAAGTTTCAAAGAACCGTCAGAACCAAGCGAAAGCTGGTTTYAGTTCTGAGAGGATTAGTGAAGACGAWGCCGTGTGTGAAAGTATGGATTCATCACTACCTGGTGATGTTCTAATGGAGCGTTACTTGTCTTCAGCTCCTGTTGTGTGTTCACAGTCTTCAGTGATGAATGAAAGCTTTGAACAGTGCAGTCAGCTGAACATATCTGCAGACTCTAGGTGAGAGAGAGGATTTGTTGTTTTTCATTTTCGTGTTTATATTGCTGTCAACAATATAAATCCCGCTGCTCTTTTTGCTTTTCTTCACAGTTTTGAGCTCAACAGTGACGTGTTCAGAGATCAGCCTCTGCTGTCGGTCTCAATGCGTATCTGTGATGAAGATGAGAACAGCCCCAGCATCACCAGCTCACAGTATTGTGTCCSAGAAGCTGGTGATTCCTGTCCTTCTTTTGCTCTCAACYCTCACAGCTCCACCTGTGGTGAGCTGGGGYTGAGMCRGCAGTTTGGAGACACRGGRTTGGAAAAAGATCTACTGAAACAGCAGTGTGAGGAGCTCCACGAGGAGCTGGCTCTGAAGGAGCGGGAGCTGAACGTGTTACAGGAGGAAGTTATGAAGAGTTCAGAGGAGCTGGAGGAAGCAAGGAGCAGGTAATTGAGGTCATGATGACCATGTTTTGTCCTCATCTTTACTTTATAGTTCTAGTGTAATGGGTTAGTTTGCATTTTTACCTAATGTTTGAGGGGAAAATGTTTCTTTAATTTTCTACAACATTTAAATAAACGCAAAGCAGCTTTTTAGTCAAAGTGTCATTGTGCTGTTAGTTCTGGAGACCAGCTGGTGATTAAAAATATTGAGGAGTAAGAAAATGTGTATTTGATAGATTATTTCTCTGTTGTAACAAAGCTTCTTGGCAAAAAAATCTTATACTGTTGGACAGCCTGTTAAATTCCCTTTTTAAATAGTGTCACATTTGTAAGGAAYATGCATTTGTGGGATGAGCAGTACAGCTGAGTATGTGGGTTGCACACATGTAAAAGTTACCAAATCTTCTCAGCCAAACAGCTTATTTTGATGTTGCTACACTTGTTTTGGACTTCTGGTGCCCCCAGGTGCTGCCAGTCGGGTACCTGACAAACATAAAATTTATTGTCAAGAAGCGTTGTTACAACGAATAGATAATCTACCAAACACCACTTGGTTAGGCTAAGTTTAGATGAGTTGTTTCRTTGCAGACTCGCTGAGTCTGAGTGTTTGCAACCACATGGCCACTCAATACGCAGCCTTGTGGCCAAATTTTGAAAAATCTATCGATCGCAAAACTGTCTAGTCTCTGCACATTATTGTGCCTGTGACATGCGTATCCTTCAAATACGAAAAGTCTAAGAAAATATTTTTTATTTTTAAGAAACTTGGCATAATACACATGATTTTACCCATTTTGGATTTGTTTTTACTTGGCTCAGCCAAAGTGAAACAGGAAGTAACATCAAAGGGGAACTATTTAAAAAGAAAACTCTCTGGTATTTGTTCATTGAAGGAATATTATTTGAACTCTGACTTTTCTTCATTTCTTTCTGGTAGTGATTAAAGATAATCTGAAGAAACATCAGCTTCTTCTCCACAGTCTGTGATGTCAGTTATTGTAGCTGCGCTCTGTTTACATTCTGACATTCCTATTTGTCATCACTTCCTGTTACTTCACATGTATTCACTTCACAAATATCTCAACAACTGTTCATCTCAGTGGCGTGAAATTTATTTTGCAATATGTTATTAATTATTTCTTTCCAAAATTGCTTTCATATTTTTACAAAAAATGAATGTCAGGCACTTTAACGTCCACATTCTACCATATCRTACTCGCCTTGGCCCGCTTTGTACCCACTTTAGCACCCTCTCCACATTGATGATTTAATMTCTTTAAGTTCACTTTTCACACACAGATAAGGAGATTTGGACCAGTTTTTTAAGAGCTATTTGTCAATGGTGTGGATTTTAGACCTAGACATTTAGATGTTTTCTGTGAAGGTGTCAAAATACAGCTCAAGCACTATAAATTTCTCTAAACTAAATTGAGAAGGATTTGAGATGCCTGCAGCAACTTTATTTTGTGAGAAAATGTAGCCTCATAAATAGGGCTGTGTATTGGCAAGAATTTGGCGATACGATACATATCATGACAGAGGGGTCATGATACAATATATCCCGATATATTGCGATACTATAAGCAAGACAATGTATCGCGATATATTGCGATTTTTTTGTCCAAAAATTCTATTAAATAAAAACCTCTTACTGGGGAAAAAAAATGAAAAACCAAAATTCATTGTCTCAAAAAATTCTAATATTACAGAGACATACTTTTGATACATTTAGCTGTGTTCTGCTTTGTATGTGTTTTATTTTATTTGTGTCATATTTCTTATTTCATCCATGTTTTCAATTATTAGACTAAAATTGGCAATAAATAGCTTGAAAATATATATTTTTCAAGTTTTTAATATTAATTTACAATATGGTTACCCAACACTAAACAATAGCGTCTACCTCAAGAGGTAGAGGAGCCAAATGGCTGGCTCGCTGCTGCCCACCTAGTGGTCAGAGGCTGAACTACAACATAAAAATGAACAGCTGGCAGGAAAGTTGACATTTTAAACCTTAATAAAAAAATCGATACAGGACTTTAGAATATTGATACAGTATCGGGAAATGAAATATCGAGATATTTCAGTGTATCGATATTTTCTTACACCCCTACTCATAAATGAACTTTTGGAGGTCTGGCAAGGAAATTGAGAACTCCTACAAACGTTTCTTGACATTTTGGAGACACTGTAATGATTGTCGTTTGCAGACTAGTCTTAACAGTCACAACCCAGTGAGATGCTACCTTTAGCACTGCAAACATTAATATTTATCTTTTTCCGGTCTGTTCAATAAGCTCGAGTAAAGAGGGACAACCGTAGTTAATGAGTCTGCAGCTAGTCRTAAAAAATAAACTTGCATCCAGTTTCACAGTAGTTACATTGTGAAGTGTTGTGCGAGTGTTTGCAGAATTGTATCCACAGCATCTTTTCTGAAGCAGGTAAACCTTTTTAATTGATCCCGCTCTGTTTAGGTGGGCTCAAGTAACAGAGGAGCTCARGCAAGCTCTCTCCGAACTTGAAGAAGAGAAGGAGAAAATAAGATATATGGAAGAAAAGATGAACTTCAAAGCTCRCGAGCAAGAAAATCTTATCAACAAACTTGGTGCCTTCATTGAAGAAAAAGAAAACACCGTAATATCGATGGGACAAGAAGCAGAGASCGCAACGGAAACCTCACTGTTAGCTCCTGCCACCTTTCCACTGGAGGAGAAAGATTCACCGGCAGAGGAGAAAAACTTTGTTCTCTCATCTAATCAGAACCAGCAGGAGCTGCTGCAGCTTTCGTCTCTGCAGGAGGTGGAGCTGAATGATTACTTTGCCAAAGAGACCACACAACCMAGAAGTGACATCCAAATGCAAATATTACAGGTATACAACTGCATCAAATGTTTGTGAGAATTTCTTAACAATAATTTTAAAATGCTTGGAAATTTAACTTAATGTTTATACAGTGGTTTGCAAAAGTATTCATACCCCTTGAACTTTTCCATATKTTGTCACATTACAACCACAAACATAAATATATTTCACTGGAATTTAATGTGAAAGACCAACACAAAGTGGTATACAAC